TATTATTTATATTATACTACACACTTATTTTTATACAGAGCTGAGTTATGGCTTTTTGACTGAGATATTTATAGTTTTGCTAGTGAAGGATTTTCTGCTTTTAGCAAATTCAATTTCCGTTTTACTCAGATGACCGAATATGCCCATCGCACTTCGTGAAGGAGTATCAAAATAAGAACTCGGAACCAGAACATATTGATTTCTCCTTGTTGGCTTTTTCTATTTATATAATGCCGAGCTTATATAGTGGCGACCATTGACTGACAAATAGACATTGTTCCGCCCACTTAAAGCTGCGTCCCGTCATAAGCAATAAATCCAAAATTAATGTACTGAAATAATAATGTTTTGTAGTTTTCTTTTGTGCCCCAGGCTAAGGGCATATATATTTTTTTCCCCTCCGCTTATCGAGTGCGGAGTTTAATACTTACTTGCTGCGAGCGCTGCTTGCGTCCAACAAGATATAGAATTTTTATGTTTCTGCTAAGATTTACATGCAACCCACGGCAAATGATATTTATGCAAATTCCAATGGAGTTGCCCAAAGTCAGATCACAAATTAATTTATCTTGAAAAGGCAACACAAATCCTGATTAACTTACAGGCATGGAATATGCGACAGCATATAATAAAAAATATAAAAAGAAGAAGACGAGAAGTTTGCCGCCAGGAAAACAAAACAATTGTGAAAGCCATCTACACGGGCGTATGTATTCATGTGTGCGTGTGTATGTGTTGGTTAATGCGTTCTAATAAATTTCAGCAACATTTGTACCTTTTTTGTGGGGCGTGCTTTTATTGTTAACACAAGACGGCGTGATGCCTACCGAATTCCTTAGCGTTCGCCTTTTGTCCTTGCCGCCAGTTCGTTGCTGTCTTTATTGCCAGCTATGCGGCTGCGGATCGCAACGACTTTCCATGCGCCATGCGCCATGCGCCATGCGCCATCCGCCAACGATGCCTGAAAAATGGCAACAATTCATTTGCAGTGCCTCCAGCAGCAGAAGGGCGAATCTCTCGTCAAAGCTGCAGCTCCGTGGCAGGTCGCAGCCTCGATGTGGCTTATGTACGTATAGTTGTTAGTTCAGCAGAGCCAGAACGGGAGCAGCAGCCGTTCGACCAAGTGATTTGTTTTGCTTCGTTTGGCAACAAATCAGAAGATAAACGACATCGATTGTGGCAAACGACATGGTCGCACCAATCTTAAGCCCGCCCCAAAGGGTTGTCCTCGGTCCTTAAAGGCGCAGCGACTCCAGCTTAGCGCCGATAAATGTCACGGCGCTTGGCTCGGATGCCGCTCAAATTGAGAAACAAGATTCAATGTGAAGCGGACATGCAATTAAAATTGCATTATACTGACGGGCAAATACTGACGTTATTTCAGTCGTAAGGCAACGCGCTGGCCAGTGCAGCACGTAAACATTTTAATAATCCCTTCGCTTCGGTCCAACTTCCATGTAATTGTTGTTGCTCTAATTTAATTATGCATAACGAGCGACTTGGGCGCCTGGACGCCCGCAGAGCACGCAGCGGGGCCAGCCAAACAGCCAAAAGGTTTAGAAATAATTGAAAACAATCGGATTAAAATGTGCACAGCGGTGGGCGAAAATTGAACGAGCCAAAAGAGCCGGAAATAAAAGAAATAATCAACATTTATATACAAATTAAACAGGTCATTGTGCTGGTGCGTGTGTGGGTGCGTGTGAGTGCGTGTGAGTGCGGATATTGTGTTCGTTAAGACCAATGACCCTTGGGATTAGTGAGTGCGTAAATAAATGAAGGGCAGCAGCCCAGAGGCGATTATGTGCAATGACAAACAGTTGCTGCATGCCATGAGCACTTGACCCCAGAGAGGAGGCTCAGCTAATTTCACATTCTCCACTCAAGTGTTGAGTAATTTATGCAAGTTCTATTTGCCTGGTTATGTGAATAATTTGCTAAGCCAGCAAGTTGCTCTT